AAAAAAAAAAAAAAAAAAAAAAAAGAAGACCCGTACATTTTCCTCATTTGTATATTTTGTCCAGGAGATTAGTTTACATGCATATCATAGTCTTGTAGGTCACTGTGGAACTTAAGCCTTTTTCCTTTAGTAGGATTAAGCCACAGAAAGATTTTGATCAGGTATCCCACCCTCAGCCTACCCCTACACAATGTGTTAAAATCGGCCTTCCCAGCAGTTCACCATTTCCAGGTAAAGCCCGCTCTTAGAACTTCTTAACAATGACCCATGGCTTGACTAGTGAAGCTGAGGAAAGGGGCATTGTCTCTGGATAAGTTCACAGTGTATTTTAGTTTGTCATTGTTGCTTCTTTTCCACTATGGAGCTTAGAGATTTGCCCATGAACTGCACAAGTACACTTCAGAGGCCTTGTGTCTTCTGACAATGACTTGGACAAGAGCAGAAAGAAAGGTTGAAGGAGAGACCCAGGGACACAGAGTCCAGGCAGAGCCTGTGAGAAGATCAAAGCAGACTCAGAGGCACAAACAACCAGTCAGCAGAAAGACCAGGAGGAACAAGAAGAGGGGTTAAGTTGGGTTATGTGGCAGACAGGAGGAAAGACCACAGATAGGCAAGCAGCAGGGAGACTGCTGGAAGGGTTGCTGGGCACCATCAGGTAACTTCCACTACTTTCTTTTACAGGTGAGATTCTGAGAATGCGAGTGTGGACTTGATTTCTTGAAGGCCAAAAAGAGCTGACACTTTCTGTCAGACGGCAGTCTACAGACTTTCTACAACTGGAGAAATGTTTTAGCAGCACATGCTGTAATAGGTTAGGTCAGGACAATGTGGCTAAGAGCAGGGAGACAATCTGGAAGCCACTAGTGGGAGACAGAAGGGGAAATGAGAGAACCTGTGGGAGAAGGCAGCTGCAGGAGGCAGCGAGATTTCTCCTGTAGGGAAGTGTGCAGGGGAGAGGTTAGTCTGTGCAGCAGAGGAAGACAGACGAGAGTGTGAGTGAGTGAGGGAAGGACAGCAGATATCTGAGTTGAGAAGGCAGTTTTCTGGCCAACTTATCAACGCTTCAATGCTGCTCCTCATCCTCCTACTCTTCAAGGGGCTTGTCTGCCATGGGGAAAGTGCAGTGGGTAAGAAGTGCTCCGGTAAAGAGATGTCTATGGTTGGGCACACCAGGAGAGGAAGTTCTGGGGAGGACCTGGATGAAGGGAACAAAGCTTCTGTTAGATGCTCTTGTTGTCTGCATTCCAGGCTGGTTTACAGGTTGAAAGTTGTTGCCTCCAGTCCAATTTGGTGGCAAGAAAACTGGGTCAGGGTTTAGGACTTATTGGGATATGTGCAACCTGTAACTATATCCTTTCTTGCTTTTCAGTCTTCAGTCTGTAGCATCTGTTCTCCATCCCCGCACTCTCTCCTCCAATAACTCTCTGTTTCAGCTCCCCAGGCTTTAGGATTGCACCACCGAGCAGCAGCAGAAGAGCCTCTCATTTTCCGTGTGCTGCACATTGCCTCCTTCAAAAACAACAGCTGGGTACAATCCCAGGGTTCAGCCTGGCTGGGCGAGCTGCAGACTCACGGCTGGAACGGTACTATAGGCACCATCCAGTTTCTAAGGCCCTGGTCCCAAGGAAACTTCAGCAAGGAGGAGATGAAGAACCTCCAGGCACTTTTGCAACTATACTTCCATGGCTTCCCCATGGAAGTGCAGACCTTTGCTCATCAGTTTCAACTTGAATGTGAGTGTGGTATTCCCGGATAATGTTCTGTCTGAGGTCTTAGGAAATCTTGAGAGTAGTAGCTGGTGTAGAGAGTCTCTAACCATCCTCTACCTTCTTGGATTTATTCTCTGTCTCCCTTTGGCTCACACTCTCTCCCTCCTCTGCTTCATGATCCACCATATACAAATATCATAGCCTGTGTGCATATCTGTTCTACCTTTGGGTACAACTTCATTTTCTGTTTTCTCTCTCCATGCTTGAGTTTTCATATGCCACGACCTGGACATCATCTATGCTATATGAGTTATTCGAGGACTATCTCTTTTCTTCCTGAGAGCCCACCCATCTATGCTTCATATCAATTATTTCAAATTATTTTTAATTTCAGAATTACTTACAAATTTCCTTCCCATTTTGCATGTCAACTCTTGCCTCCCATGTCATTCCGCAGCACTGACCCCTCACTGTTATGCTCTAGATTGGGTGTATGTTCCCTGGTTGTTCTCTCCATATTGATTCTGTTTTCTGCCCACTGTAGACCCCTTTGAATTTCAGATGTCAGCTGGATGTAGTTGGCATGGTGGGCAGGTCTCGGAGAACTTCTTAAAGGCAGCATACCAAGGATCTGATTTCCTGAGTTTCCAAGGAGGTTCCTGGAAGCCATCTCCAGGAGCAGGAAGTCGGGCTCAGAACGTTTGTCAGATGCTCAATCGCTATCGAGATATTAAGGAGATAGTGCAGCACCTTCTCAGTAACACCTGCCCTCGATTTCTGGCAGGCCTCATTGCAGCAGGGAAGTCAGAGCTGGAACAGCAAGGTGAGCCCAGGCCTCTTTCCTCTCCTACTTTAGCACTTTCACTTTTTGAATTCAGCACTTTCCTTCATCATTTTGAAACATATAATGAGAGGATAGAGGGAATGATGTCTGTTGTACTGTTTTTAAAAAGAGAGAGAAGTGATTACTGAAACTGCTAAGCCACCTGAGCACCTGTGCTCTGGTCAGAGTGCTCATCAAAGTTCCATTTCTTCTCATCTTCTCCTATTTAGTGAAGCCTGAGGCCTGGCTCTCCAGAGGCCCCAGCCCTGGGCCTGGCCATCTGCAGCTGCTGTGCCACGTCTCTGGCTTCCACCCCAAGCCAGTGTGGGTGATGTGGATGAAAGGTGAGCAGGAGCAGAAGGGCACTAAGAGAGGGGACATCCTGCCCAATGCTGATGAAACATGGTATCTCCAAGCAAGTCTGGATGTGGCGGCTGGGGAGGCCGCTGGGCTGTCTTGCCGAGTGAAGCACAGCAGTCTGGGAGGCCACGATATAATCATCCACTGGGGTGAGAAAGAAGGAGTGTCCAGCTGGGAAGTGTGAATGATGGACCTAGGGGTTTTGGTGAGAAGCTGGGGAATTTGGTATGAATACTGTACGCATGAGAGTTAAAAATGGGAGAACTGAAAGAAAGAAGGGTAGAGAATGGCAGCATTTAAATATGAAGAAATAGAAAGTAGAGAATTAAAGGGACTAAAGAGAGAACAGGAGGGATCTCATGACTTGTAGGAAGAAGGTTGGGGTGGATGAGGAACAGTGATTCAGGAGGAACTGAAATGAAAATTCTTGAGAATTCCATTGAAATTTCTAGGATCTGCATTGCACAATAATATTAGAATCCTTAGTGTAATGTGATGAGCGTGCTTCATGAATTAATGTGTTTGTTTTACTCCAAGCAGGTGGATTCTCCGTTCTCTTGACTCTGATGTATCTGAGTGTAATAGTCACTCTGGTTGTGCTTGTGGTCCTGGGCTCATGGTGCAAAAAGCAGTGGTATGCCTTTTCTTTTTTTTTTCTTCAACCTCCATCAACTTTTCTTATTTCCTGTAGTTTATTTTTTCCTTTCCCCTTTCCCTCCATTGTTCATCTTTTAAGTTTAAGATCTTCCTCTTTCCTACAGCTCAAATCGGAATGTCCTCTCTTCCTGCATATCCAACCCTGCTTTTCCCTCAAAAAACAACACGCGATGCCCTAGAAGTTCAGTCCATCAGCTCAGCTTGTCACAAGAATCACGGGTCAAAACCAGAATCCTGAAGTGGAAAAGAAGCCTAAACCATTTCTGGTGACATTAGTTTATATTACACATGAAATCCTTATTTGTTTCTTAAATATCATTCATATCTAGTAAAAAAGTTACACTGTTATTAAAAAGGATTGATTTTCAAAGATATTGAGGTTCTATTTGCAAATTTTTACTTTTAATCTTCCAGTAATATTGTTTCTTCTGTGCTTCCATGTTCATCAACATTGATACCTCAAGCTGAACCTCAGATGGTTCTTTCTATATAGAGATGTCACTGGATTGCTTAGCTAAAAGCATTGTATTCTCCCAAAGTTAGATTTATATTCCTCAACCCATCCATCTCTTCTGCTCTATCAGCATTGATTCTGGTTTTTTCTCTCTTCCTTCTCTCAGATGCTTGAAAGTAAGACTTATGCATATGTACCTGTGTAAGCACTCACAGTCCCATGCTCTGAAGGACCCAGCTGGAATTAATGGTCTTTTGTTGCCATCTTGCAATTTCTTCATAATTTTCCAAAAAGGATATAGCATTTTCATTTTCCAATTCCCTGCAGCAAATTATGTTGCTGCTTCTGCCTGAATATAATGGATCTCAATAAATGTTGACTGGGATATGTTTATTGACAGATGAAGTGTCTTAGTCCATTTCTTCTCTGACAATTCTGTGTCATTTGACTGTGCATTCATTAAAATGGTCCTTCTCACCCTTTGTGTCTCAGCAGAAGTAAGAGACACATGAATGCCTCAGATTCCATGGTGATTACAGGGTTTATGCATCTTCAAGGTAGTTAATAAAATAAAATAGGGATGCCACTTGCCTAGTGATGGCACATTTGGACTGGCATTCCTCCACTCAAGACTGTGTGTTTCTATGTGTGTCTTTGTTGATGGGTATATTCATTTGAGAAATACACATTTTGAGTAATTAGGAAGTGAACATGTGGTTTGAGGGTAATTTTAATGGACAGATCCAGGAAAGGCAAAGAAGAAAAAGAGTAGGTTAATGGTACCTTGGTTATTTGTTTACTTTTCTTTGTTATTTTGGTTTATAGTTATCATTGTCATGTTATAGACTTTATTTTTCTTTTG